AAAAAAGCCCTTTGGTATATGGTGAAATTTTTATTTGAGTAAGCAGGGCGTAAACCATCATTCAATCAACCGATCTGGGTCCTTTGGATGAGACCTATAAACCGAGGTCCGAGTAAGGGACAAAATTTGCAGCTCTCCACCTGCAAGTGCATGGTGGCGTCTCCACAATAGTGAAAAATTCTCATGACAAGAGAGATGTTAAACAAAAATCAAACAAACTAGCGCTATTTATCTATGGCATAGAGTCTTTCTTATGACAATGAAAATTTTCTATGCAGTTTTAAATGATAAATTTTACTTATTGTGAAAGGAAAACAGTATTTTTAATAAGGTTTCCTATATATGCATGTGTATTTTGGATAATTTTTATTTAAGTAAAAGGTTCTCGAGTGGGGCGTCAAACAACATAAAATCAACCAATCTGGGCCCTTTAGATGAGACCTACAAACCGAGATCCCACGAAAAAGATCCCTCACAGCTATAATTTGGAAAAGTCGAAAATATTGTGTAATTTTTAAAAAGCTGAAATGCACCAATCTATTAGATAATAGGATTTATTTTTTAAAAATTTATGAAAATCTTACAATGTGGCCTATTTCAAAGACTTCCCATATAGTTAAATCCCATGTGTGAACCTACTTGGCTCCAGGGTTATGTTAAGAACTAACCAGAAGCCAAATGTGAATCAAAGTGATTCATAATGTTTAAGAAATATGTTTACAAATTACATGTGCAATAAAATAAGTGTACATAATGAGCACCATTACAATACTGAATACACACACACATGTCAAGAATATGGCCATTTTTTTTAAAATAATGCTTATTCTATGTAAATAAACAATTTAAAAAATAAATAATGCTTCTCCAGACTCAGGGTAAAATTATTTGGAAAATCCTTTTTCCAGAAAATTTTAACATATTTGTTGACGAGAAAAGAGGGATATAAAGAAAAAAAAATTAAAACATGTCCTGGAATGATAAAGAAAAGTTTTGAGTCAGTCGGTCGGTCGGGAGAGGGCAACCAATTATTCTTTAAGATGTTCTAAATAAATCTAAATTACATGTATTTTTAGTCGCAAAGTAGATCACACTAATAAAATCAACATTCTAAAGAAGAAAAAAATCTTTAAAAAACAAAGTCAAACAACAAAAATTAAATTTTTAGCTTATAAAATATTTATATAAGTTGCAATAAAACCACTAACATCTCTCCATAGATTATTTTCCATCTAGTAAAGGAGAAGTTAACATTACACTTAGAGATATATAAAATTCTCAAATCTTATAACCTCAGTATTAAGAAAAAATTTAAACCCTGGAAAGTATACAAAATGAGTTATTCATTTGATTATGCTTGTTTAAAATGCAAAGAGGTTTGTTTACTGTGTAAAATTGTCTCCCTTGCTGCATATGGTGGCACATTTCTGCAATACATATTTTTTCAAACTAGTAAATATTTATTTCTAAAAAAGATACTTACGCCTTATATTTTTCTAGAGTTTTTATATGTTAATTAGAATACAATTTACCAATTATAATTTAAGAAAAACATTCTGTTGCAATTTGTTGAAGGTTTATGATAGTTTGACTGGACTATTAGCCAAAATGTTTTGAGACCAAAGGGTCACAATGCTCAAAAAAAATTTTTATCAGCACTTTTTACCCATTGAAACATTGATCACAAATTGTGGTCCCACTCGATCATAAAAAGTCGTGACTTGAATAAAGATGAATCTTCACTCCACCCAAAGATCCTTATAGTAGAATATGATCATTAATCATGACTTTGATGCTCCTGAGGAAACATAAAAGACTTTTCTGATCCATTAAAATTGTATGTACTGATTGCCATTGTGTTTCCACCAAACCAGATGACATCATTACCTGTGGATGTTTCCAAAAGATGTATGACTACTCAAGCTCAATTTAATTAAAACAAGAGGCCCACGGGCCTTATAGGTCACCTGAGCATCATGCAACAACATTCAAATGATTGAATTTGTTTCATGTTTTAAGCTAGATGCTAAGGCATTCACAATTTTGGAAGAGGCACTCTTGCTATTCATAACTATGTACTTAGTTAGTTTATTTAAAACCTAGGAGCAGAGAAGAAGATTTTCAAAGATTTAATGCATTTTCACTATATAATCAATAGAGCCCCGCCCTAACACCAGAACCCCTGACCCTGGGGCCATAAAATTCACAATTTTGGTAGAGGCACTCTTGCTCATCATAACTATGTACTTAGTTAGTTTATTTAAAACCTAGGAGCAGAGAAGAAGATTTTCAAAGATTTAATGCATATTCACTATATAATCAATAGAGCCCCGCCCTAACACCAGAACCCCTGACCCTGGGGCCATGAGTTTCACAATTTTGGTAGAGGCACTCTTGTTCATCATAACTATTTACTTAGTTAGTTTATTTAAAACCTAGGAGCAGAGAAGAAGATTTTCAAAGATTTAATACATTTTTACTATATAAACAATAGAGCCCTGCCCTAACACCAGAACCCCTGACCCTGGGGCCATGAGTTTCACAATTTTGGTAGAGGCACTTTTGCTCATCATAATTATTTACTGAATTAGTGTATTTAATACCTAGGAGCAGAGAAGAAGATTTTCAAAGATTTAATGCATTTTTATTATATAATCAATATAGAGCCCCGCCCTAACACCAGAACCCCTGACCCTGGGGCCATAAAATTCACAATTTATGAAGAGACACTCTTGCTCATCATAACTATGTGCTTAATTAGTTTATTTAATACTCAGGAACAGAGAAGAAGATTTTCAAAGAAATAATGCATTTGCACTATATAATCAATAGAGCCCCACCCTAACACCAGAACCCCTGACCCTGGGGCCATAAAATTCACAAATTTGGTAGAGCCACTCTTGCTCATCATAACTATGAACTTAATTTGTTTATTTAATACCCAGGAGCAGAGAAGAAGATTTTTAAAGACTTACTGCATTTTCACATATAATCAATAGAGCCCCGCCCTAACACCAGAACCCCTGACCCTGGGGCTATGAATTTCACAATTTTGGTAGAGGACTCAATGCTGATTACAATCATACCAACAGTTTGACTGCTTGATGTCCGGGAGTAAAGAAGAAGATTTTTAAAGATTGCACTATTTTTAGTGGTTTTTGCCCCACCCCCCAGGCCCCAGGGGGGCGGGGACCATGAAATTCACAATTTTTGTTCCCCTTCACCCATAGATGCTATATGCCAAATTTGGTTGAAATTGGTTCAGTGGTTTCAGAGAAGAAGCTGAAAATGTTTAAATGTTAACGCACGACGCACGACGCACAACGCACGACGGACGACGGACGACGACGGACAAAAACGGATAGCAATAGGTCACCTGAGTTTACTCAGGTGACCTAATAAGGCTTTAGATCCGCTCACATACTTGCTTTACTTATATCTAACAGCATCCCATAGAGGGTCACGTCAGAAATCAAATTCGTAACAGCTCTAGACTTATACGCTTATGTTGCTAGATGTTACATGTAGTGTAGCGAGTAAGCAAACAGATATAACATCTAATTTGAATAAGATTGACTCAGGCTTTGCTGTTTTTCAAGAAGAATGGTTTTCTATGTAATCCTATTTAAAACTAAGTTCCCCCATCCTGGCATTACTCTACCAACAAGGGTCATGGCTTGACAAAAATCTTAATCTACACTATGTCAGGAGGCTTTCACATAAGTTTCATCTTGAGAGGAAGTTTTTAAATTGACCCTATCAACTTTTTTTTCATCATTATCTCTTAATGGAAGAGGACGTGGCCCTTCGTTTGAATGAATTTAAACCCCCCTTTACCAAAGGATACACTAGTTGCAACTGGACCATAGGAAGATGAAATTTAAAGAATTTTATAAAAAGAACAACAAAGACAACGACGAACAACAGACAATTTTTTTCAGAAAAATCACATGAGCCTCTGGCTCGGGTGAGCTAAAACTCAAATATCATGAATGTAATCAATTTACCAATTTTCCATTTGCTCTTGCAGTTTTAAAGTTATTTTTATGTTATAAAATATATTTCTTAAAAGTACATAATAGAGCTAATACTTTTCTAATGCTTTAAAATTATAAAATGTGATGCTAAATTCTCATAACGTTTTACATTTCAGCATTTTGAAAAGCAGGGTATTTAAATCTCCGTCTAGACAAGGAAGTTTAAACATCCGACAGGTAAATAACACAGGTATGTCGCGTGATCAGACAACAGAAATAAACATAGGTGTCCACCATTACTGAACTGTCAGGTAAAAAATTACTGAAACATTAATTAGTCTGAAATCATTTAAGTTTAGTAGGTTTTCACCATGGAGAACAAAATTCATGAATTTCCTAAGTCCATCTTAGATGCAAGATGGATGTCTTCATTTAACTTTTGTAAATATTCCTACTAAGAATGTAAAGTTTTTACTTTCAGATTGATAGATACCTTTAAAATTAATCATGGACCCCCGTACCAGTGCCCAGGACGTGATGCGATGTGACCTCTGTGAAATTGCTGTGGTACAGATGCATTGTGATACGTGTCATGTCAAACTATGTACATTTTGTGTAGGAAAACATATGATATCTGATGAATCCAAGGATCACATAGTCGTCAAATTTCAGTCCAGGAAATCTACTCCCCTCTACGCTGGATGTACATTTCATAGCAAGGAACAATGTGAAATGTACTGTAATCAATGCGATATTCCAGTCTGCAATACCTGCATAGCATCTGATCAACATCTTGGTCATAAGTTTTTCAAAATTGTACATATTTTAAAATAGAAAGAAAATTATGCAAGGTTTAACTGAATTAAATGAAACAATTTATCCAACCTACCAGGACATTGCCTCTGATGTACAAAACAAAATACGTCAGTAAAAAAAGGAGTATGGAGGTCTCTCATCGGCCATAACAAAACATCGAGAGAAATTGACAAAATTGTCAAGAAACTAAAAACTGAAGTTGATGAGATGAAGACCACACAGTTACAAACTCTACAGAAACATCTGGATGAAATAAACAAGACAATGTCTGGCATCAAGGATGAAATCAATGCAGGAAACAAAGCTACTGAAAGTGATAACTTATCAAATATTTTTAGCATAAATTCTAAAGTAGATTTATACAGAAGTCTTCCACACAAAATTATGCCATTTTTACCCAAATTCAAGCCGGGAAAAAACCAAGGAGAAAAACTCAGTAAAGTATTTGGAAGTTTATCGTCAGGTTCTCTTACTTCAGACAAACATGGCTACGGCATGAAGACAACAAAGAAATCACCAGAAGCTGGATCCTCTCCTCCAGTCAAAGAGCTGCTTGATGAAACAGAAATTGCCGCCACCATAGACACTGGGTATGGAGTACTTTACAGTGTGGCCTGTCTGAGTGATGAAAAAATCTGGACAAGTGGCTATGATAAAACCATGAACCTCTTCAGCATCAATCAGGGATCAGTACTAAAGTCAATCAGAACTAAGTCAGGGAGATGGCCATATGACATAGCAGTGACAAAAAGTGGTAATCTACTATATACTGATTACAATGATAGAACTGTGAACATTGTGAAGAATGAGAAGATAGAGGAGGTGATCAGAATACAGAACTGGAGACCTTGGGGTCTCTGTAGTACCTCCTCTGATGACCTCCTGGTTATTATATACAGTGATGATAACAAACAGTCAAAAGTTGTCCATTACTCAGGCTCCACAGAGAAAAAAATCATTCAGTTTGATGACATAGGCAATTTTTCTAGTCCTTATTACAGATACATAACTGAGAACAGGAACCTGGATATCTGTGTGTCTGACAGTAGAGCTAAAGCAGTAGTAGTGGTCAATCAGGCCGGGAAACTGAGATTCAGGTACACTGGACATAGTCCTGCTCCAAAGAACAAACCATTCAGTCAACGAGGAATTTCCACAGACAGTCATAGTCACATCCTTTCAGCTGATGAATACAATGACTGTGTCCACATCATAGACCAAGTTGGACAGTTCCTCCATTACATAGTCTGTGGACTGAGTGATCCCTGGGGACTTTGTACAGATACAAATGACAATCTGTTTGATGCTCAGTATGGAAACAGACAGATGAAAAAATTGAAATATCTGCAATAAATAGATCAATGTGTTTTAGGCTCTATATAAATAATAGAGATACCCTTTCTTACTGATATACCAGTATGCTGCACAATGCACAAAAGAGAATCGTATATTTTTTCATCAATCTTATAAATTTTAATCATGTATATCTTAAGGGAATTGTAAACCGTATTTGTAGAAGTAAAAATGCTGCATGCAAAAATTGTTTTGATTAATTATTAGAATTTTTAAAAAATATTATTACACTGTATTATTAAAATGAGTACTGTACACAGGTATATTTTCAATACAGTCTATCAAAATGTACTGTAAATTATAAACTCGGTAAAGCGTTAGCAAAACACCTGCTGGGCCTTAATGATCCCTGAGTCGGTGAGTTTTGTAAGGATTTCTAATAGTATGTGAGGCAAATTTTTATTTCCATTATCGATGAAATTTTATAGACTGTTGCACTTGGTCAGCTTAGAAATTCACACAAACCGTCATGTAGTAACATTTTTTGTTTCAACCTGTTGAATGGATAAATATGTAATACAATAAATAGCAGTTCTTTAATCTCGGACAGTTTGTTGATAATAATGCAATTCTCATTATTATTTAACAGTCATGTTTTTAAGTAAATAACTCACACATTGACGGGCTAAATCATGACATTGTTTCGCCAACCTGGAGTCCGTGCATTTCAAACAGGATATCACTATATGAATAATAAAGTAAAAAAAACAACACAGACAGAATGTACAATTCCGAAACATACACTCCCAACACCATTTGTCTGGAGATATCAAAAAGTTCACATTAATTTTACATTTACACCTGTTATTTAACTGGAAGAATCAAAACAAATCGTCTAACCGATCTGCAAAGCTCAGTATCTGGACAACTGCAATAATTAGGATCTTGGTTCAGATTTTTGTATTTAAGTTTCACATTCCAAACTTTTCCATCACTTCCTGGGTTTGATTCCGAAATTTGTGCCAGTTTCCATTGACCATGCACATTATATGAATCTAGAACAAATACAATGTCACCATTTTGAATGTTTCTCCTTTCATAAAGCCACTTCTGTCTTATGATAACGGTATGCCAGAAATCTCGTGTCCATCTTTTCCAAAATGTATCCACCACACGCTGAACAAATTTCCATCTTATTCTGGGGACCCTGCAATCATCCCAGTCTCCTACAGGGACTCTGGTGCTTGCCTTACTTAACAATATATCGTTAGGACAAAGATATGTATCTTCAATATGGTCGCAATTCTTAGTACCAATGGGATGTTCATTAAAAACTAAAAGTAAAAATATTTACAACTTTTTGCAATTCTTTCCCGACAGCAATTAGTTAAGGACCTGCATCGGAAATCAATTTTCTGGGATATCCCCTTGGATATCCCCTGATGGAAACAAAACGTTGCAGTACCATAAGGAAACTGATCATATCAATTCATTCTGCTACATCAATATATAGTGCTCTTGAAACTAAGCAATTAAACAAGACACCATAACTTTTCCCATGGGTCCTCTTCTTAATTGCGTCCTTGATTACGAGAGGTCCAAACAAATCAACAGCACACATATAGAAGGGAGGGATCAGTTTAAGTCTTGTCTCTGGCACTGGACCCATCTGACTTTGCATTATTTGAATTTTCTTCTACATATTACACACCTTTGATATTTGGGAACGGATAATTGCGGAATCAGGAAATTGAATTACTCTCTGAAATGTAAAAGTCATACTTTCCACAATTGTTTCTCTTGTTCTAGCTGACATCACAGCACAGCACCGCAAAGGTCAAGCCTTGAAATGGAAAGTTGCTCCATTGGCGCAATCCAATTTTTTGCAAAAATTAATCTGACTTCATAAGTGTCTCAAGCAGTCTCCAATCTTACGTACACACACGCTCCAAAAGCAAGATTGCTGCCATCAGAAAAAAAACCACCAAGACTGGATTTCCAAAGACAGTAGGTAGGCTCGGATTTGCGTACCTAATTTTACCAACACTCGTAGCGAACACCTCTGCCACCTAACGTTATAATGCCGCAATGAATTCGGACAACTTGTATTCGTCTTCCTTGAATATGCTTCATTGTTTGCGTAATTAAGTTTCCAACGGAAGACCTTATTGTTTTCGTTCTGTTTCTTTTTCCCTCTTCTTCTTATTATTATTAAGGTCTTCCGTCTCCAACGGAAGACCTTATTGTTTTCGTTCGGTTTCTTTTTCCCTATTATTATTATTAGGGTCTTCCGTCTCCAGCGGAAGACCCTTCTATTATTCTATTGTTTCTTTTTCACTTTTATTATTATTTTTTTCTTTACACATTTTTGTGCAGACGATTTCTCAGAGATGCTTGAGTCGATTGACTTGAAATTTTCAGGAATGATGTATCATGAACTAAACCTTATTCATATTTTTTATTTTTCTAAAAAATCACTTCCGGTTGGAAGTTATCGCCCTTTAATCGAATTTTAGTGACCATTTTGTCCGGACAAAAACTCAAAAACGAAAAAAAGCTAGAATGCTGTCATTTTCAGGACTAAGAGACAACATATTGTAGTTTTGCACCTATACTTTCAAATTTTCCAGAAGTGCTTAGTATGGAAGCTCGGTAGGGGTCGAAATCTAGGACACGAAACATGACTGATTTTTTGAGACATTTTGTATTATATCTTTTAAAGTATAATTATTTGGTTAAAACAATTATTTGGTTAAAACGTACTGAACAAAATTTGTGCAGAATGACAAGATCTTTAATATGACATCAAGAAAAAAGTGCTGACTCATCACATTAGGGGCCAAGAGGGGCCAAAAGTCTTTTTTCGATAACTCTTAAACAATCAATATTTTGTTAAACATTACAGAAGCAAAAATGTTAATCTCAACAATTTACAACTACATATTATAAATTTAATATCGTATGTTACATAATTAGGGGCCACAAGGGGCAAGAATGCTAAATCTTTGACGCTTTATATCTCAAAAGTGGGAAATATTTTGATAAGTGATATTGAACAAAATATGTTCAAAATCATGTTTCAAAAAATATGCAACCTTTAATTTATCGCTATACGTCCCCTTTAAGGAGTTAAAGGGTTGGCCCCTAATTATTTCTTTTGCAAATAACTCGAAAACGAAAAAGAATATTTGAATAATAGTTGAATGAAAAGTGTTCAAAATACTGAGAGCTTTAAGATGAGATCAAGAAAAAGGGGCTGGGCACTCAAATTAAGGGCCGAGAGGGGCCAAAACTCTTTAATTAATAACTCTTTGGCAGTCAATATTTTATTATACATTACTGAAGCAAAAATGTTTATCTCAACAATCTAAAACTGTATATTATGTTTTGAATGTCGTATGGTGTATAATAAGGGGCCATAAGGGGCCAAAATGCTAAATCTGTGATGCTCTATATCTCAAAAGTGGGAAATAGTTTGATAAGTAATATTGAATAAAAGATGTTCAAAATAATGTTCTGAACAATATGCAACCTTTCATTTTTCAAGGTTGAAGGTTTGGCCCCTAAATATTTCTTTTTCAAATAACTCGAAATCGGAAGATAATCTCTGAATAGTTGTTGATCAAAAAGTGTTCAAAAACATGAGATCATTAAGATAAAATCCAGAAAAAGGGGCTGGGTACTCAAATTAGGGGCCGAGAGGGGCCAGAAGTCTTTAATCGATAACTCTTTATCAGTAAATATTTTGTTATACAATACTGAAGCAAAAATGTTTGATGGAATTCTAAAATATTCTTTTCGTTTTTGATGGAATTGTTAGTTATGTTAAGTAATATTAGTGTGTTATATGAAATGTTTTGTTTAGTATTTGAAGTGCCGTAAAATGTCTCCTTAATATGTATATATATGAAAATGGGACTTAAGTGTGTGTTGAGATGTGCCGTGAAAGTGGTATGAGAAGTGTTGTATAGAGGTTATATATATGTTGGAAAAAGTGCCGCGTAGTAATACACTGTTCTTATTGGTCAGTTGTTGTCATGGTAATGATGACGTCACTTCTGGTGCGGGAGAATTTGAATCTAGTAAATGTGATATATTCGGTGTCTGTGTTTAGTGTGTTGTAGATTGATTGTTTGTATGTTTGAGTTGAATTTGTTGGTATTGATTGTTATATGATTTTAGAAAGTGTTTTGCTGTTTCAGAAATGTCGTGAGAGCTTTTAGATGATATGAAGAAAAAAGGGCTGATCCCTAATATAAGGGTGCATGAGGGGCCAAAAGTCGAATTTTTAAGTCTTCATGTTCAATGTCTGTTTACAGATTATGGAGGCAAAATCGTTCTTCTTCACAATGTTTATCATTATTTTAGAATGAAATTCTCAATCAAAATCTTATCTTATCAAGAATCGGACGGAAGACCCACTCGTTGCTCGCAACGAGATCGTATCTAGTTAAGGTCTTCCGTCTTCAGCGGAAGACCTTATTGTTTTTCTTAGGTTTCTTTTCCACTATTTTTATTATTATTGTTTTTTTTTCTTACCGATTTTGTACGCGCGATTTCTCGAGAACAGCTCGATCGATTTTCATGAAACTTTCAGGTCTGATAAAACATCAAAAAATCTAGATATATATTTTTTTTATATTGATGACGTCACTTCCGGTTCGGAGTTTTCTGCGATTTAGTGATTTTTAGAGGGTCAATTTGTCCGGCAGTTTTCTCAAAAAGTACTTAACACAGAAACTTGAAATTTTCAGTGATGCTAGAGCAACTTTTGGAGAAGTGCACTAAGTATATCACAACTACCGGAAGTACGAAGCGCCGACGTTCGCTATGGTCCGAAAATTGTCCTATCAAGAATTTCAAAATTTTAAGCACCTTTTCAACGATAACTTTTTACCTAGAAATATTTTGTTAAGGCATGTAGAACAAAAAAGGTGTAGAATTTCAAGATCTTTCAAATGAGATCTCGAAAAAAGGGCTGGCCCCTTAAATCAGGGGCCTGGAAGGGCCGAAAGTTTTTCCTTTATATCTCAAAAAGTATTGCGAATTTGTGATACGTC